GGCATTTCAATGGTTTAACACTTTTGTTTCCAAACAAAACTTAACATAGAAATAAGAGTTTTACTCTTGAGTATAAATACAATATTCATGATACATTTATTGATTAATGATTAATAAGCATAAGCAATTAAATTAAAAGATACAGTCATGTGAAGAAGTAAGCACACTTTGTGAAAAGTTTAGACTTTTTCAGCATATTATGTGGAAAACGTAAGTACCCCTATGTATATATCACTTCTTTAAATGTGTCAAGTTGAAATTAGTTGCAACTGATCAGGTGCTAATGATTAGAACACCACTGTAGAACATCTTGGAGGAAGCTGTCTTACTTAAACCTTAGGTTTGATCTTTTTTATTGGAGTGTTTGATATCACACCTGGGTCAAAGCTCTCTGAAGCCTTCAGAAAGAAGGTTGTAGATACCTATGAGTCTGGGAAAGGATTTGAGAACTGTTTCCAAAATTTTCTAAATCAATCATCCCACTGTCCAGAAGATCATCTACACATATAGAGGATTTAAAACCACTGCCAACATGTCCAGGCCAGGCTACCTCAGCCAATGTAACCCAGGAGCAACATATTCTAAAATAAGTAACCCAAAATTTCACCATAGGAAGCTCAAGCAGCTCTTGCCACTGTGGATGAATCTACCCTATTATGAAAATGATTATTCATCAGTGATGATTTTCATTGCTTTGTAAGTAATAGTTTTATCTTGAACTAAGTCAAATATATAATGTCCAATGTAACAGTATTATTGAGAACAAATATTCACCATAATACAAAAACATTAAAAAACTCAGCTAATCAAAACCTAAACTAAAACTTCTCCTTACTAAAGAAAAACACAGCAATCTAATAACAAACTTGTAAAACTAACTAAAGCTAAACTAAAAATAAACATCAGGGCAAGACTAAAGATTGCTAATCAATATCTAGGCAAGGACCAGAACTCCTGGAACAATGTGCTATAAACACGTGAATCAGATAGAGTTGTTTAGCCACAGTACAAGAAGCCATGTTTGGTGAAAACCAAAGACTGCAATTGATCAGAAGACCCTCATACCAACTGTAAGGCGTGATGGTGGACATCTTATGTTTTGGAGCTGCTTTGCTGCTTCAGGGCCTGGCCAACTTGCAATCACAGAATTGACTATGAATTCTCTGTCATCCTGAGTGCTTGATGAGAATGTGAGGGTATCTGCCAAAAAAATTGAACAGGATAAAGATCCCAAACATGCAAACCAATCCACCAAGGAATGGTTTAAAAGGAAGAAACAAAGGGTTGCAGAATGGCCTACTAGTCAAACCCTAGATCTCAATCCCACGGAAATGCTGTGGGGAGTTTTGAAACGCATAGTGCATGCAAGGAGCTCCTCAAACACTGCAAAGTTTAAATAATTTTACACAAAGAAGTGGGCAAAAATTTCTCCTCATAGATGCCAGAAACCGGTAGACAGTTATAGGAGATGCCTACAAATATTGTTTCTGTCAAAACAGGTAATACCAGTTACTGAAGTCAGGGGTGAACTTAAGTTTTCAACAGAAAAAGGTGTTTCAGTCAATTTATTTTTAAAGAAATGATTGCAAAGTAAATTTCCATTGTTTTTTGTTCTATTATGCAATATTTATCTCTACATACTGTAGCTGACTGGTACCATTCTTCAGGGCCAGCTCCTTCCACCACAAATGGGGGCTTTCAGCATCTGAAACACATCAGAGAGCATTGCCTGTACATCTTTCTGTTTAGAAATGTTCTAATGTTTAACTCCCCATGCTTTTGTATGAGGACCCTTTATGATGCCTAAAACAGAGCTCACATGTATTGTGTATGTGTGTGAACACATTTGTAACAGAATAAGCATGTGTTACTTAATGCTGTACTCTCATTCACCTATGAGTACCATAGATGAGCAGCTCATATTTGGGATTAATAGTGAAAGGGCTTTTTTTTAAAGCCTCTATGGAATGCAAGGAATCTGGAGAGAATTATTTCAGGTATATTCCATCACAGCTGAAAGGATGTTTGAGAGGGTGCAGGGCATTTTTGCAAATAAGGGAGAGCTCACTGATGTTATTTCTGGAAAACAGAGTACTACTGGACAGTGTTAATGTCTAAATAACCATATGTCTTCAACTTAACACCTAACATAACATTGGCAGACGTTAAAGGGATACTCCACTGTTTTATAGGCTGTTGTTATATCTGTCACATTTGTAGTGTGCAGTCAATTAACCCAAAATGGACACAAATTTCATGCATGTCTCTGTCCTTAGTAAAAAAACAGAAACATCATTGACTCAACTCATAACACACTTATAAGAAAAGGTAATAAGCACTTGCTGAATTCCAGAAGTAAACATTTATGAAAGACAAAGATTAACAGCAAGCAAATGATTGGATTTGACACCATGCTTTATAGTTAAAAAAGGGCTGAGGGAAATCAGTAGTTTTCTTGTTGGGTGAGTAATGGAGGCTGCTTCCTCAGACTTCAAAGCTGCATCTAACTGGTAAAACACTGGATGTTGATGAGGACTCATCGTCTTACACAAGGTCTTTTCTCCTCAGTGGACGATGTTAGTTTGTTGAGAAATATATTTCCACTGTTTGTGGACACTAGCTAGCATCAGCTAGAGTAGTTAGTCTAGGGTAGGTAGTAATAAACGAGATAAAGTTATCTCTGACTTCTCGATTACGTCCTTGATAATGTGTCCTTAGCAATGTGCTCACATTCAGGCACTTGTGTTTCTAAGTGTAATATACATACCTACTTACATAATCATAACATTTTACATGTAAAAGTAGAAGGAAACTCATGACAATTACTGTCTGTGTTGAGTAACAGCATGTTACTCAATAGTTTAAAAAACACTGCAATATTGTTTTAATAGGCTTTTTTGGCATGAAGCAACTAACAAATTCAGTATGTCTATGATCTTTTAAACTGAGTTCACTTCAAGTACAAACATCAAGCATCAAGATTTTATATGGGGGGAAAAACGTTGAGTACAGTCATATGCCAAGAAAATAAAATTATGTCTCTGCAATGCCCCACCACTATGTAAACAGTGAGCTCACATTTTCCAGATACCATCCAGTTTCTCAGGCCATTCCAGATAGTTTATTTTCATGAGCTGGTTCAAGTGACACAAATATTTCCCTTAAACCAAAGAACACAGACATATGTTCACTTATTGTCTGTGGTGAGCAGCTCAATATAGATCCGGTCCATGCCTATGCTATCTCAACTGAATCTCACTCTCACATACACAAACTGAAAAAGGAAAATACAAAGGCAAGCACACATGTCACATGTTAAAGGGGACAGCTGCATTGTTGTCTAAAGTGTTCATGCTCTCAGGGGCTGGATGGGTCAGATAGACGGGCAGTTCCCAGGCCCCTGGCATCACCCTGCTGTTCCCTGCTCATGTCCTACCAAGGCCACAGCAACCAACCCCCAATGACCCTGGAACGAGGCAAAGCCATGGCAGGATTAGAAACACTCATCAAGTGCATTTACTGTGTTCCAATCACTCTCTCATAGACACATACTTATCCTACATGCAAAATGTAACAGCATGATCTCACAGGGTCCGACAGGTGTGGCTGAGTGAAGTTCAGTCAACGTTATTTATAAAGCACATTTAAAAACAACACATGTTGACTAACATGAAGTACAAAAGATTACAACTTAAGAAAACAGTAGAAATAAGCTCAGTTTCAGTATTCAGCATTCAGTTAACTACAACACAGTTCACTACAATAATTACATAAAATATGATGGAAATTAAAGAAGAACTTTTTGAGAATTGGAAAGAGCACTAAAACAGGGATGTGTAGAGTTATAGGTCTGCTTTTGTTCCACTCACAAACAACAGGGCAGTGTGAAAGCAAACTCATGATTGTACTTGTATACAGGACAGGAAGACAAACAACTGCACAGGCACACAAGTGGAGTATTAGTGCCACCTGCAGAATGGTTTAAGTATAAAAAGTGAGAATGAATGTATGACACACTGTTTCAAACAGTCCCATCCATGACACAACCAATTCCCTGACCTCATACTGCATATGCTCATGAACAAAATGCAGGCTAACAAACTTCAGAGTATCATTCAGAGAACACAACAGACCCCAGGTAGTGATTAGCCCATCCCGCTCATATGCTCTTAAAAACAAGGTTGCTTATTGTAACCATTAAGGTTTTATTGAAATGATGGTTTGCTTATTACTAACTTTTACTTTTTTAGATTTCAGAATCTGCACAGTGCTAAATAAGTAGTATAACGCTGTTTTCGAAAGAAAACCTTGTATCTCCAAAGTGGTAAATTTACAGGAAAAGGAAAAAGCATATTTTGCTTTTAATGTAATGTAAGTCAATTGAACCAAACCTTTTTTGCAAATGCAAAGGGCAACAGGCATTTTCAAATTATGTCAAAAACTCAAAAACAACAAAAATGGAGATACAAGGTTTCTTCCAACAACAGCGATATGTTTGTAAATGGTAACAACAGGCAATCATCATTGATACCGCAAGTTACCATATCAACTATGTTACACTGTTAATACCACATATTCACGTACAGTGAAGTTAAGGAAGAGAGAACTAAAACTACAACTTAAAACTAAAAGTGAAACTACAGTGGTAGTTCAGTTAAACTATGAATTTGCTATTAAGCCTGATCTTTAAGTTTTAAATGAAGAATGAACTAAAGTACAGTGGACGATTTGATAGCCTCCTCCTGATTACATCATGGTGGGTGATGAATAAAATAAGAAAACTTCCTTTGTTTAGTTTTGTTTATCTCTTAAGATATCTGTGGCCTGCTGCTTTGCTAAAAGGTAGGAGGAGATTGGAATAGGCCTATAAGATTATTTGATCTTATTACTTTTAATAAATATTCAAAAGAGCTGTAGATTTTGAAATATGAGGTGTGAACCATGTTGAAGTTCCTTTAAAAGAAAAACATTTTCCTTCTCTCGCTCTCTCTCTCATACAGGCAGTCACTGACTGAAGTTATATAAGTGAATAGGAGTGATGGGTGACTGGAGTCTTCTGGGAAACTTCTTGGAGGAGGTACAGGAGCACTCCACCTCAGTGGGGAAGGTGTGGCTCACCGTGCTCTTCATCTTCCGCATCCTGGTGCTGGGCACGGCCGCCGAGTCATCGTGGGGTGATGAACAGTCAGATTTTACATGCGACACACTGCAACCCGGTTGCACCAACGTCTGCTACGACAAAGCCTTTCCCATTGCACACATTCGCTACTGGGTACTGCAGATCGTCTTCGTCTCCACACCCTCACTCATCTACATGGGCCATGCCATGCACACGGTGCGTATGGAGGAGAAACGGCGCCAGAAGGAGCAGGAGGAGCGTGAGGCAGAAGAGCAAAGAGGAGAAGCAGGAGGAGGTCATTTATTGTGATATTTCATTTTTGTACAAACAACATTCAACAAAGTAAAGAATAGAAGGAAAAATAACATCTAGGGATGCACAATGATGTCAAAATCCTATCATTATTGGCATATTGGTAATTTTACAGAAAAGGTTTAAAGTAAGTTAATGTAAAAATATGTAAAGTATTTTTAGACCTTTTCTTTCAGTCTGTTCTCCAGACAATGTGAAAGTTAACTAGTATTTTCAAATTATCTTTCAACAAGCACTCGAACGGAACGTGAAGTCACATTTACTAGTTAACCATCTGGCACGTACAACCTTCCAATAAGCACCTGAACGCAGAATATTTGAAATGGCATACTGTGTACTGTATACAGCATACTGCACTATTGCACCCACATGCAACTCTTCAACAGTAGTATACCGAACAGTATCCAGTTTCCAACGCAGCCGTGAGCTATACACTACAAGGAAGGGGCGCGATTAGCCTGTCAACACCAAGGCACCAAGCCAATCAGACAATTTCAAGACCCGCCCCATTTTCCTCAGCCCTCCAATCACAGGCACATCTCTTAACCAAAAAACAAACACACACACTGAAAAGCGGCTAGCAACGTTTGCTAAGCAGTGATTGGAAGACTAAGGAAAATGGGGTGGATCTTAAGATAGGTGGATCATTGGCTTGGAGCCTGGTGCTGACAGACTAGTGACACCTCTGCCCTTTAGTACAGCTCATGGCTCGTGTTGTATGTTGAATACTGTTCAGTACACTACTGATGAAGAGTAGCATGCAGTATGCAGTACATACTATTGCAGCATGCAGTGTACAGTACACAGAATGGTGTTTCAAACACAGCCAATATCTTGGAGGAACCTGTCTAATTTAAATCTCAGGAATCAGGTCTGGTTTGCCCTTTGTTATTGGAGTGTGTGGTACCACCATGCCTAGATCAAAAGAACTCTCTAAAGCCTTCAGAGAGAAGTTTGTAGAGTCATCATTCCACTGTCCGGAAGATCATCTGGAGATGCTGACCACTGCCAACCATTGCCGTCTTGGCAATTTAAGCCAAAAGCAGACTGTGAGATGTTAAAAGCACTCTCTAAGAATCCCAAACTTTTATCACAGGATTTGCAGGTAGCTCTCATCTACCATCAGAAAAGAACTGCATAAATTTGACCCACGTGGGAGGTGCTCCAAAGTCAAATATTCATTTTTTTTTCTATTACATAAACACACACATACACACACACATATATATATATATATATATATATATATATATATATATATATATATATATATAGTATACATATTGTGTGACTGAAGATCAATTACTGATATGTCTACATGTCAAAAAAAGAAACATTTCTTGAGGTCTACTTACTTGTTCACATGACTGTATATGAAAAGTCAGCCCATAATTTCCATATCGACATCCAATCAGCTTTTTTTTTACTATACAGTTTAATTTCACAGTGTGAAATCACTGGTTGCTGCTTGCAGACTCTCTATAAATGGTCTTAATCTCTATTTTTTAATGTAGCATGTATTTGACCAGTGCCCTAGAAATACTGATGGCTGCTCAGGAAAGCATGTTGTGATGTAATCAACTGAGATAACGCTAACATACCGTCATATTGCCCACCCTTAGGAGGAGGCGAGAAAGAGTACATGGAGCAGAAGGAGAAAGGGTCTGAGATGCCAGGCAAGATCCGCCTGAAGGGGGCACTGCTGCAGACGTATGTACTAAGCATCTTGATCCGTTTGGTTATGGAAGTGACCTTCATTGTGGTCCAGTACATGATGTACGGCATCTTCCTGGAAGCCCTATACCCCTGCGATACCTCGCCCTGCCCCAACCGTGTTAACTGCTACATGTCTCGGCCCACAGAGAAGAACGTCTTCATTGTGTTTATGCTGGTGGTGGCAGTCGTGTCCCTGTTCCTCAGCGTCGTGGAGCTCTACCACCTGGGCTGGAGGCAATGCAAGCGTTGCTTCAGGAAGTACGCCGAGAGTCATGCGGCCAAGAGCAGCGGTGATGCCAACGACAAAAGCGGCAAGGCTATTTCTACAGCAACAAAAGCCATTACAACCATCAGTATGGACCTTCCGGACACCCCCCAGTCACGTCCTTCCCAAACCTGCACCCCACCTCCAGATTTCAACCAGTGCCTTGCTGCTTCAGGACGAGGGCCAACGTCACCTCCGCATCTTCATCACCACCATCATCTTCATCCAATCCACCCCAGCTACCAGCCCTTCACCAACCACTTGGCCCACCAGCAGAACTCTGCCAACCTGGCTACTGAGCGCCATCACCATAGCCATGACAACCTGGAGGCAGGGGAGGACTTTCTGCGGATGAGCTATGGGCAACCATCGGCCGCAGTGTCCTGCGGTCATGTCCCAGGTGAGGTGTCACCTAGCGCTCCCTCTACGCCCACGTCCAACGGCAGCTTCATCAGAGACAAGCGCCGCCTCAGTAAGACCAGCGGCTCCAGCAGCAACAGAGTCCGGCCAGACGACCTGGCTGTGTGAGCCAGAGAGGAGATTCTAGCTTCTGGAGGCATGCACAGATTTGCGTGTATGTGTATGGTTGTATATGCGAGTCTTTGTTGGTACTAGCAGTGGATTGAAATTTTTTGATAGCCATCTTCTCAGGTTGCATAAACGTCTTACGCATCGGGGGGACTAGAGAATGATGAAAAAAGAGAAAGAATCTGTATCAGAGCACCTTATTTGGTTTCATTGAAACTGTTGTATAGTGTTGAGGGTGGTCTATGACAGGGTAGATCTAGAGATTGTACATAGCATATAAAATACTGAAGCATGTATGTACAACAGGATGGTTGGATGACTGGTTGAGTGGATGGATGGACGGATGGATGTACGGATGGATCTGAGAGATCAAAATACGAAAACCAAATTTTTCGAACAATTTATGGTTATTTGTGGAATATATCAAGGAAATAATACTGAGACTAAAAATTAGGGCTGGCCTGAACAGCATTTTTCAGGCTTAACATTTACATTTTATAGTTATCCATAATTTTAAATATGTTAGTTAATTTTTAATCAAAATATCCTAAAACATAAAATACAGTTTTACAGATTTGCTAGATAGATGAGTCTGACTGGATTTTTGCCTACTTATTTCCTAGATATCAGCAATGATAGAGAAGACGCATTTGCAATCTTTGTTTTGCAAGGTGTTTTAGTTTCAGTTTAGGCACTGGATAACCAAGTTCACATTCCATCATGAGTGAAATAACTTCAAAAGGCAAACAGAAATACTGCACACAATTGACAACTCAGTGTTAAATTTGTGCAGATTTACAGCCATCCATTAGCCAGCCTGCTATCCCTGATTGTCTCCATCTGTCAATGCTGCGGAAGCCAAACAAGTGACTTGAGTTTCTTCGCCTGAATAGCATTAAACAGTCAAAACCACAGCCAAACATGTGTATTAATGTGTATTTGGCCGATTCTCTCTGTTTAAAGTTTATTTGACATTTTTACATATAATAATGTATCTTGCTGCAATCTTTCAAGGAAAAGAGAGGTCTTGGGAAATTATAGAAGGGATTGTGGCTGGTGTTCATCCTTTAGCTAACATTAGCCTACCTGGGTATAAAATGATTTTTATAGCCTAATATCAGCTTGATCGTTAAGTAATTTCTCCTGGTTTTATGATAAGACGTTTTGTTCAAAACAGTGATAAATAAGCCTCTAACTTTTAAAACTGTCAGGAAGACAGAACTGTTTACACAAGGAAACGATTGCCAACATAACAAACAAATACTCAAGTATTCAAATTATTCAGGCCAGCCCTACTATGGATGAAATCAGATATTTGAAATCACTATAGATGAGAGTTCTTCAGTACACTGCATAAACAAACTAAAGCCTTGAAAAAAAGACACTGGTGCACATTGCAACTTTATTCCCTATGAAAAGTGAATAGCGAGGACATCATTAACCTGTCGCTTGCTAAACACAGCTGCATGATTTCAACAATTAGTTTCTAATTATCAGTAAAACCACAAACAGTAAACACATCAGTTAAGCCAAAAAGAGTCTGGCATACTGTATATAAGCTGGACTATCTGAGAACATATCAACCAAAGAGCTCCAACCCCATATGCCAAAGTGACACTTCATTGGAGCCAACACTGTGAAAAAGCATCTCAAATCCTTGCGTGTGAGTAATTATTCAGGGTCATGGATGCGAATGCTACCGTGAATGCCAAAGAGTCACACTCTTAAAGTGGGAACATACATAATTTCATGTGGAGACAAATAATTGCAGACATCCTGCCGAGAGTTTGCTTGGCACTAGGCAGTCTGGCAGGTGTGACAGTGACTGTTCAACAGGAGAAAGGACAGGCACAGAACATTCAAAATTAAGCCAAACAAAGGAAGAATGACAGCTTTCTATTTTATTCATCTGTGCTAGAAGAGGGTCCATGATTTACCACACACCTCACACACTTAATACCTAAATACGCCACACTTTGAGGACACTCAAAAAATTAAAACATTGTATTAATTTAAATCGCCACTACATAAGAATGGGAATTTGGCCTCTCTGGTGTAATTATGCAGTGCTGTGAAAAAGTTTTTGCTGAGATCCTGATTTCTTCTATTTTGCTAATTTGTCACATTTAATTGTTTCAGATCATCAAGTAATTTTAATATAAGATAAAGACAACATGAGTAAACACAAAATGCAGATTTTCAATGATCATTCCATTTGTTGAGGATAAAGATTTATTCAAAACCTATATCACTAATGTGAAAAAGTAATTGCCCCTCAAACCTAATAACTGGTTGTGCCACCCTTGGCAGTAACAACTGCAATCAGATGTTTGCGCTGAATCTTTTACATCACTGTGGAGGAGTTCTGGCCCACTCTTTTGCAGAACTGTTTTAATACAGCTGCATTGGAGGGTCATTGAGTATGAACTGCTCATTGAAGGTCTTGCCCCAGCATCTCAATGGCATTCAAGTCAGGACTTTGACTCAGCCTCTCCAAAACCTTAATTTTGTTTCTTTTAAACCATTCAGAGGTGGGTTTGCTTTTGTGCTTTGGATCATTGTCCTGCTGCACAATCTAGCTGTGCTTTAACTTTAGGTCACAAACTGATGAGCAGATATTATCCTTTAGGATTTTTGGATAGAGAGCAGAGTTCATGGTTCTATCAATTATGAGAAGTCGTCCAGGCCCTGCAGAAGCAAAGCAGCCCCAGATCATCACACTACCACCATGTTTGACTGTCAGTGTGATGTTCTTATGGTGGTGATGTGGTGTTAACTTTATACCAGATGTAATATTCAGTCCACAGAATATTATCCAAAACTTGTGGGTCATCTAGATGTTTTTTGACAAATGCTAGTGTTTTTTTCAGTCAGCAGTGGTTTGCGCCTTGCAACTCTCCCATGGATGTCATTTTTGCCAAGGGTCTTTCTTACTGTGGAATGCTGTACATTGACCTTATCTGAGGCGAGTGAGGCCTGCTGTTCTTCAGCTGTTTGTGGGGTTTCTTTTTGACCTCCTAGATGAGTTATCGATGCGATCTTGATAGAATTTTGGTAGGCCAACTGGTTGATTTAGTAGCTACATAGTAAGTAGTTACTTTTTACATATGGCCAGGTAGGGCTAAACAGCATTTTTCTTTCAATAAATGAAATCATCATTTAAAAACAGCACTTTGTGTTTACTTGCGTTATGTTTAATATTAATGTTAAAAGGAGTTTGATGATCTGAAACATTCAAGTGTGACAAATATGCAAAATATAGAAGAAACTGGGAAGAGGTCAAATACTTTTTCACAGCACTGTACCATGGCAGGCGACTGGTGGAACAGCATTTTTGTAAAATTAGTTGTGGTGCACAGATTAATTGGGGCAACTGAAGTTGCCGTCTATCTTCAGTGTTCAAAAAGTGACATACAAGCTTTCGCTAAGGTAGTGCCAGGAGTCAAGACCAACAAATACTGAAAAATGGGTTGATTCTAGTGTTTGGTTCTGTTAATTTGAATATATAAAAAAACAAAATAAATAGCTTATTTACATTGTTTTACCATCTAATCATAAAATAATGAAGAAAATAATAAACATAATGGAGTTAAGGGGCTATTTTATTAGCTACATTGAAATTTTCCTACCATTTTCACCAGACATAAAACGTTCTGTATGTAGACGTTAAGGGATGTTGAAAAATCATGACAACATTTTCAATAAACATAGAATGTTTCATTATTTAAAACCACAAGAATTTTGCAGTTATATAGCATTGTGTGCAAAAGTTTTGGCAGCCCTGGTTAATTTGTTTGTTGATTTACTAGGTGAAAATAAGTTAGCACATCTTCTACAGAGAACACACTTTTGTACATTTTAATGCACAATTACTGTTTATTTACTGTATTTGGAAGGGTTGGTAAGGGGAGGGGGTGCCTAATGAGGTTTACAGACCAAATAAATACATAAATAATGGTAGATGGCTGACAGCAAACTGGATATTCTGTTGTGTTTAATGGAGCAGCGGTGACGATAGGGTACCACAAAGGTCAGCGCTGATCTGAGGCAGAGCCTCTAACTCCACCACAGACACATAACACTACTGCAGAGCTTCAGCTCCTGTGATTCAGTGAATCTCCTTGCACTGTTTATTGAACTTTTTGGTCAACAGAATGGTCTGTTAACCAGCGTCTTTTTCTCTGAGTCGCACCGGCTTAAAGAATGAATGCTGTTATGACTTGATTAATCCATTTCTCAGCTCTAACATAAACATTGTAAAACCCAGCAGAACTGAGCATTTTTATAGTAATCATAGAAACAAAAACATAATAAAAGGTTTCTGCATTCATCATGGTTATGTAATGACATTCACAGTCAGTGAGTTCATGGTTTTAGTCTTTTTGAGACACTTTGTGGGTCTCTGCTGGCTTTAAATTAATGCTTCAAACAGAGCTTTTGTTCTCCAAGCCATATAAGCATTGGACTGTAGTGGCCAGAGGGCTTAGAGCCAAATACAGTCATATAATCCTGAACATATGGCAACCATGCATGATATATATTAATGTTTATGAAGCTTTTCAGTTTGCTTTACAAAGAACATTTGCTTATTCAATTACCACAGTAATTAGCATACATAGCATGCAATGACTAATCATTCAAGCCAGCTACTTCCCAGATAGCTGGGTATGCAGCCCATCCACTCGGACATGCTTTTGAGCTTAATCGTGTGACATTAGTCGATAAAGAAATATGATATACTTCAAAAACTCCCACCAATTCTAATCAGATTGCCCTGACTTTTGATTGCAGATTTCAGGCTTTACAGGGTGACAGCAAAAGGACACCATGATTTAGCGCATTTTTCTTCTGGTGAATCATTGAACTACTTATTTCATTTCGTCCAAAAAAAATGTACAGTTTTAATTTAATTACATCACACATTTTTATTCAGTCATACAGAGTACAGCATATACTTTGTTAAATGCAATTTCAATTCATGGTGATTTTTTTTTTTAGGTTTGAAGTCATACAGCAGTAAATGTATAAATGTGCAATATTCAACATCCTCTGGATAGCGAGAAATAAAGCAATCAAACCAAACAGAGTGTAAATTTTAGGTGCCTTAATATCAGTCCTCCTCCATAAAGTTCTACATTTCCCATAAACTTTAACAGCCCTGAGCAATGGAGCTGACTTAGTACTAGAGAGTTGGAAAACTGACTAATAGTCTTGACTAAGTTATGGATATTATTGAGTGAACATGATGTTCACATCAAATTAAAGCAATTGCAACAACTGTTTTATTTTACTCATACTAACCCCTGTACAACCTGCTAAATCCAAATGCAAATTACAGTGCAAAACTATGATTGCTACATTTCTGTATTTTTAGTACATTACCGGGGCTTTGAGATCATTTATGTACATTTAGCATTTTTCTGCCAAAGGCTAAAGTTGTTTATGTAAAATTAGAGGATTTTAGCAGCCTTATGTTAAGTCCAGCTTGGGAATAGTCATGCAAAATGTCACAACCAACACACTATTACAGTGCAGTCAAGAGCACAAAATGTCTATTCTGTTTAATACTTGGTTTTAATTCAGTTGGTTTTAATTCTGTGTGCATGGGAGATTACTAGCATTGTAGCCTACCATATTATATTACCATGTTAGGACAACACGTTCATCACTTTTGCTTTTCAAAAGATAATGTCATAATGTATTCAGTCATTCAGCAAACATTTACAGTAGGGGCTACTGCTGTATTCTGAACAAAAATAAAATATTTCTGCCACTTACAGATGCATTATGGGGTGGTTTCTTTTTCTTTTCTTCCATTCTTCCAGGATGTAACAGTCAAGCATGACTTGTGGTTAAACAGCACCATCAACTGTCTCACATCAGCGTCTTTACTGTGTTTATGCCAGTGCTATGTTATTTCCCTCCACCTACAGCACCACAGATTCAGCGATTTCCTGTCCCAACACACCTGATCACAAATAGCACAGTAATTAGTTGATGTGCTGGATCAGATGTTTTAAGATGGGAATGGTTGAAACCATATAGGTCGCCAGAAGCAGGGCTAATGAACACAGATTTAAACAGCTGCAAAGTTTGCCCTTTAGCAGACAATGCTAGACTAGTTAGCACTAGAAGCTTCAAACTCAAAAGATGATACAGCTTCGTTCAACAGAACCGCATGTTACATCAATAAATAGGACAAACATTGCACATAATATTGGACATGCCAGCAGAATCTTCTCTGGCAATTCTACACTCAGTCATTTCGCCATGTTCGAGGCAGATCACAGCTCTCGGAGTGGGCATGGCTCATGTTCAGAGGACCTGTCACTCCAAATCTGCTGACCATTGGAGAGTACAAGTGAACGCCCACTTCTAACCCCCCCCCCCAAATCCAGCATGAAAATGTGCCAAAATTTCAGAAGCAAAACAGTGATAACAAAACTATACCAGCAAAATCAGCAAATAGAAAAAAATGTAAAGACTGGCAAACTGAGTGAAAATGAGTAGTAATCTTTTTTAAAAATGAACTTGGTTCAACTGTCATCAATAGTGTTCACAACATATGTTTGACATTTTGATCTTTAACATTTTGCTTGTGAAATTTGTAACTGAACTATCTGCACAACAATATTGCCCATGAAAAACTAATCTGGTCTGAATAGTCCTTTACTGACCTAGAGTATTATGGTAAACTGGGAGTGTTGGTATTGTTGTCCCGCTGCACTGATGCATTCACTCAAGTTTGCTGACAGTGGAGCTGAGGGGCACTGGTATTTCAGGGAGCCCTCATGTCTTTGTTACCTGCTGGCTCTCCCTCTTAGTTAGACTGTATTAGACCTGCCATGGTTTCTGCTGTTATCTGTTAACACTGTATACTGTAATAAGTCTCTCTTAACAGAACTATCTGTGTGTTTCTTTGCCAAGCTGAACAACTGCCCACCCTGCGCAGTCTGATGCAGTTTCTTCATCCGTCTTGATCGGGTGCCCACTGCGCGTCCACCCACTGGACTAGTATGACCACCATGGTGCTCACTGCTTTACAATGCTGTGCAAACCTCACCTGCATGGACAGCCCCCCCGATGATACTGCTGCTGCTGCACAGACTTCACCTGTTTTTCCCCTTTTCTGTAATATTAATATTTAATATTACACTAATGGTAAAACCCTATTCTCTGTTCATATTGCTCTTGTGTTATTGTTTCGCTATCTGGCATCAACCAGAGGAGGATGGGTTCCCCTTTTGAGTCCTGGTTCCTCTCAAGGTTTCTTTCTCTTACTCTTAGGAAGTTTTTCCTTGCCACAGTGGCCATTGGCTTTCTCAGGGGTTCGGACCCAGATTTGTCTGTAAAGTTGCTTTGTGACAACACCTGTTGTAAGCGCTATTCATAGTATTTGATTACGTCATTAAGAACACCATGTCACCATTTTGGTAGGCTGTTAAAGAGTAACTACACCCCATTATCTCCACCCCTGGCTCAACCTCGAAAAATCCTCAAAAATGGGAGGGGCACGCTAGGAGGGACACTGCAGTGATATACGGGTTTGGAGGTGGGGCTGTGAGGGAAACCAGGTGGGCTGGGCTGCTGTGCTGTATTCCCTAAAACCATGATAGCTACCTTATCTGTTCAGCAGGTCCATATTCAATATAACCTGAGTCCTGATTACTTAGATGCCCTGAATTCTGAATGAATAAAGTGTATTTCTTTGAACACTGTCTAAATTTCATTTAGTTTGACATCAAGGTCGCAGACTGCATCACCAGTCAGCCAGGGTTTGCTGCAGTGGCCCTAAATTCTTACGTTCTGCAAGCTGTTCGTGACACTTACCGGTGTTACATCTGAGTCAGTTCCCACTCAAATTCACGTTCCCCTTTATAAATCTAACCTTCGGGCACTCACTCACTGGACAGAAATCAACGGCAAGCAACACTGGAACTACGGAAAGCGGGAAAAAAGTTCGAGAAAGGCTGTATAGACAAAAGGTTGACACAGTCAGTAACAATGGCCATTTAACGTTAACCTTTCCTGAACTGTTTCACTTTCCATAGTTCCAGTGTTGCTTGCTGTTGATTTAGGATGCAGTTACTCTTTAACTCTGACAGTACTCTGATAGAGCTCATTTTATCACCGTTACTGCAGTAACAACCTTGCAAGTGGATAAATACCAAGTAAAATAGACGGGAATGACCACTAAAAAGATTTAAAGACACATAGATGCTTTAGATGCAGTCTCCAGGAAATGCAACGAGAAGAAGATTTGCTAGATTGGTGGACTGAATATATTTCTATGATATAAATGATATTTTATAAAAACTAATAAAAGTGGCTTTCAAAGCTCTTAATCAATAAACTCATGTATAAATATTAGGCTCAAGTCAGCTTCTTATTCGACAGCTTTTCATTTTCCGTTCCACCTTAAATAACGCTGCATTTACACTGAGGTACAGACAAATTTCAAAAGTTGGCGAATACAAAGCCAATATCGGCTTACCTGAATAAATGCATCAATTTACCTAAATAAATTATCCTTAATCAACAAATACTTCAAACTTTCAGTTGGAGATGTTGAACTGTTACTGAGCAGCTAATGAGTAGTACAGCGGAGCTGATCAGCTGTTGGACCTGCTAAACGCATCTCACTGGCTAAGGTAACGTTGTGTCCCAAACCACACTTTTGTACTTCACCTACTACACTAATTAGAGCACTTATAATGGTATCTGTGCCATTTTTGTATACTTTTTAGTGTGCTAGTATGGAGTTTGGAACGTGAAAATAATAACGCAGCGGGGAATCTCAATCGTTTAGATTATAGCTTTCATTTGTTATCACTACAACCACAAATCAAATAAAATCAAGTCATATACTCAAATACATTGGTTATGTGCTTTAAAAAAAATTAAAAGGTTTTACATTTGAGGTGCTTTATTAAACAATATAATGTGCGTATAATGAGACTCACAATTGAACAACTCAGGGCAAATGACTTACGAGAGAAATACTGTATCAAATACTGTATCAAGCGTTACAGTGTAGAAAAGTGTTAATTGCTAAAGTTAGTTGACTTAGGGCAGGGGTGGGAAAAGTCCAGCCCTAGAGGGTTGGGTTCCTGCATAGTTTGGTGATTTTCCTACTCAAGCATACCTGATTCACTCATCAGCTAATTAGTTGGTGGAAGTTCATAATAAAGTTATCTTCTCTGGATGCAAAAAAATAATATATATGCATTTTCTAAATGATGCTGAGGTCACAAATGACATTACTTCTAAGAAAGAGAGAAAAAAATATTCCAGAAAACACTATAGTAGATTAAATTAAATGATGATCAATGGTTTGATCAATGGATGATCAATTTAAATCAGATTTCTGCCGCTTTATTGGAAAGCAGTAAATCCTTTCTAAATATCCACACTTCCTTCCCATCTATGATGTCAAATCTGTTATTCCAAAAGTTAATACAAACAAGAACAGATACTCGAGTTCTGTAAACAATACATCTTAATTTATTGTACCATTGGCACAGCAGAAAATGATAGAAACATTCCGTATGCAAGCAAATGCTCTTTTATTGAACAAGTACTTCAAAAGCAAGTCTTTATAAAGACAAAAATACCCAGCACTAACCCCCACACAAAATATTAGGAAAATGAGTAAAATGAATTTTCTTTTTGGTTGCTGAAGTTAATGCTAGTGGTGAGATAGGCATAGCATTGTTTAGTTAGTGACACAGAAGGAAAAAAATGAAGTTTTATATTGTGTTCCATGTGCGATATTTTTGAGCCTATCTATTGCACATGTCAGTCAGAATGTACGCTTATGTGATTTGTTGAGGGTCTGTAATTGTCGTAAAAATGGTTCCTGCATTTTTATGACGGGTGCATTTGATAAAGTTCTTACGGTAATCCTGGCTGAAATGACAGCGTTTTACCGTTTTTTCGGGAATTGTAGTCTTTTGTTCCTTTAGAGCATTCGCTTCACATGACGTTACCACGTTACGTGAAACTACATATTCCAGCAAGCTCTTTCACTTAGCCGGGTCATGCCTTTTCAAAATAACTACCCAAAGTTTGCCAACAGGAATGAATGCAGATGTAAGTCGAGAAAAGAAGAAGTCGATCTACGATAACTAACAGCATAAAAGTAAGTAACCTAACATTTTCAGCCTTCCTGTATCAGGAGCTGGTGTTTTCTTGATCCCGGTGAGTGTTCGCCTGGCTCTTTGAGATGTCAATAGGAATAATCCAGGCTGTTGAAAGGATATTCAATGAGGACTGCACTGAATAAGCTACTAACTGGCCATAGGCTAGAAACTGAAAATAGGTTTGGTATTTTGAAACTGAATGCTTGCCAGCGAGAAGCCAAATACGATGACAGCGACGGCAGTAAAGTTTTATAGCTGTCTCAAACTAATCAGCTACAGGACAGCGTGTATCATTGTAGATGGTTGAATGTCCTTTATACTGGGCAGTTTAATGTTGCTCTTTGCTCACTGTGTTGTTCAGGTTGGTTCATCTAGCGTGTCTCTCTCCACAGGTTCGTCATGAGGAGCTGGTGGACGCGCCTAAGTGTTTTAAGCGCAGCTGGTCTTGGCTCGACCTTCTGGTGGCAGAAGAAAACTGAGCCTGTCCAGACAGATTTGGATTCGAGCAAAACTTCTCCAAGCTCTGGCCAGTCCTCGTCTCAGTACGAGCTTAAACTTGTCCAAGTTTTGTTCAGGCATGGAGCGAGAACACCATTGAAATCTATACCGGATGTTTTGGAGGTGAGAACGTAGTTTAAATTCAGAGGCCTGATCCTGGAGTTCACCGTGGAGCCCATATGAAGATGGAAAACACTGCAGTGTGATGTTGGGATATTAAAGCGTCTGTCGCACACAAAATATATTGTAATATTTTGAAAAATACATTAAATTTCTTATATGAAAGCCTTCATTCATCCTCTTCATTAGTGGTGTCAGGAACCTGTGAACATTAGAGGGAGGTGTGTTATAGGAGAACTCAGTCCGCTGATTTTTCAGAATTGCTTGATAATTCAAATGTTGCAATTTAAACAGTCCTTCAGAGTGGTGATGTGAAATAATTCATTGTAGAGAAACATACCAACTCAGATATCTTTACAGTGCTGAATTGCTCTGGTTTAGAATAAAGAAGACTCTGATACTTCATGCTGCATGTTATTAGACATTGGAGCAAAGCAACAGGCTTCAAGCATCAAGCTGTTACACGCTGTGTTTGTTAGAAGCTCAATATACATTGATGCCTATTCATAAAGAAGTTTTTTGTTTTTTTCTCAGGCACAGTGGGTTCCTGAGCTGCTGGAGGTTCCAGCTCACACCAAAATCGATTATGTGGTTACAGATCTACAGGGTGGCCCTCGACCCCCTGCACCAGTGGAGGACGGCTACAGAGCCAAAACACTGACAGTAAGTGCATGCATGCTTTTGATCTGAAGTAGGTGACATTGGAATAAAAGAGTTTGATGTCATATGTAAACAGTGTCAAAGTTTCTAAACGTACCATGTCGGCTCTGAATTTATTGTTTTTGTGATGTCATGCAAAAGCATATATCTACCTATTCAGCTTACAGCACTTAAAGCCACACCCATTCACACTGTACTTATAAAGAGTGTTTCAGCCCAGACTTTAAAATGAGGCACAATACAGAACAGCCAATCAGAACAGAGCTCATTTACGTATATCAGTCTTAAAGGCACAGTAACAAAAACAGACTGTTTAATTTAAGGGATAAAGAGAAGTTAGAAAATGATGTAGAAATTAATTATTATTGTTTTGGTATATAACACAACACAAATGCTGAAAATGGACCTCAGGTGACCTTGAAAATAAAATGCAAGAAAAATGAAAGACAGGGCCCTTTAAGCACAGAATGGAATAAGGAAAAAAGCGTTATGGCAGCCTAAAAGATTTGAAAGGTGCTTTAAAATTCTGATTGATTACAGATTAGTTGCTGACGGTAATAATATCACAGCTTTTAAAAGCAGTTTTACGCTTAATGCTTGAAGTAGCAAACTGAGCAGCAGAATGAAATTCGTGATGGAATGTCAGAATATGTTTCTCCAAAGAGTATATTAACTTTTTATGTGAAGAAGCAAGCTCTTACTGAACATACTGCTAGTTTCCATGTGAATTGTTGAACGGTTGAAAGCTCCATAGTACTTTACATATTTCTCTCTCAATTTTTTACTGTAACTTTTAGTGAAGTATTCCTGGAGTGTGCAGTGTTTCCCATACATAGGTTATACTTTGGTGGTGTGTCCAGGACCATATACACTATTTCGGTAAGAGGTGGTGCCTAAAAGTTAGTACGTGTTGCTCCAAAATGTGTACACCATCACAGAAGCATGCCGGTTAATGAACGCTGTGTTGTTTGAGGAATCGAAAGTCACAAAGATATTCAACTGTAGTTTTTAGCCCTGCTGTTTATGCGCAGAGATTTCTCTGGTTTCTCTGAATGCTTGTACACCGTAGAGGTTGAAATACCTAAAATCCTTGCATGTGCTCATTGAGGTGTTCTTTAAAATGTAAACTATTTTCTGATGCATTTTTTGGCAATGTAGAAAGCCTCGACCCATCCTTGTTCATATAAGACGAGGCCTTTTCTGGATGCTCTCTTTATACCCAAGCGTGGTTACATCTTTTTAAATATTTTCTGAACATTTAACAACTTTTCTAGTCTTAAATTGACCCTGGAACATGATGAAATGATCTTTTCATTTCAATACAGATTACTGGTTTCACTGCTTTCTGTTTTTATTTTACTTGGTTGAATAAAACTGAGCCAGGCAGCAGGTTAGACCATCTGTTTTAAGATATTTACATGTAGTGTGCAGTTTTGAACACAGCTTTTGATTGGCTTGATCAGATGCGTTAGTGTTAGATAATGGAATATTAGATAATGGACCAGGAAGAGGATTAGTGACCACTGCTCTAAAAACATAAATAAATAAAGCCTTTGAGTGTTTACTATTTGCAAGTGAAAGGTCTGTAAAAGACAAATGTATAGTACTTGGTGGGTTGGGTTAAAAAGAAAAAATGAACAACAGAAATCCGCAATTGTCAGTCACTGCAAGGCATGGGCATTGACGTATTGACCTCTTACTTTTAGGGTGGTACATATCCAGGTCAGCTGACCACAATGGGCATGCAGCAGATGTATGATCTTGGCGTGAGACTGAGGAAACAATACATACAGGATGTGGCCTTCCTCACCCCTTCCTTCAACCATAAAGAAGTTTAGTGAGTTATCCACAACCTCTGTCATGGACTTTTCTGTATGGTGCATAAATATTTAAAGGATGTTATGCGATTTGCTAATAAATGGGAAAATGTATTATGAGTCTGATATTAGAATTACAGTTTATAAATGCAATAGATATTTCTAGTCCACATGCAGTCACTACTGGGCATTTCAAATGCCTGCAACATCCTCTATTTGTTAGCATAGTGCACATCACAGCCCTGTACACTGGAGGCCAGGGTTCGATTCTCTGTGTAGGCAGGACCACCACTAGAACTAGAACTTTACATTTAATGACCATTACAAGTAGCTCTGGAGAAGAGTATCTGAAAAACTCTGTAAATATTTACAGTAAATGTCTTAACTATATGACTTTAATAAATGAGCCATCAATAGAGTCTTACGCTCAATGTACTTCATATATGGATTTTTGTGTAAACAGAAAAAATACAGTTGTTGGATTTCAGAAGAGGTGGGTAGAGTAGCGTAAACCCATACTCAAGTAAAAGAATTTTGGTGAAATAATGAAATGAAGAATGTAGTAAAAAAAACAGTCTGAGCAGAATTACGAAAGTAACAGTTTAAATAATTTCCTAAGTAACTCGCAGACATGAAATGTAACTTTTTTCGCACATCCAGCATCTGTTAGCATAAGTAAAGTTTGTTAGGCTCTGCCTATGTTTTGCTTCTATGTGCTTCTTCTGATGCACTCAAGCTGCATTTGGGAACGTTCCTTATTATAGAAATAGTGCACTATGTAGTGTTGCTGTGTCAAATTCTCAAGTAAATCTTTTGGTCATTACATGTTTTTTTTCCCCAGCTAGTTCCCTATGTAGTAAATAGTAAATGAGTTAACGAGTAAACTGTTCTGAACACTTGTCTAAAATAAAGTCCTGAACCTCCGAAGTCAGTCGTGTGACCAATCACAAAGCAGTAGAGATGTGGTCACCAGCGTAACACTGAAATTGTACAGAGAAAATTAATTAGTAACTAAAACAAAAGTGACTGAAAAGTTGAGTAGAAGTAAAAGTATTTTCATTTGAAAATATACAGGACATGGACAAATCTATCAAAATTTTACTTGACTACATGTAACTGAGTAAATGTGACTGCTTACTACCCACCTTTGGGTATTGAATTAGAAATTCTATATTTGTGAATTCCTATCTTACTAGTATAAGCTGTTTTGTAATGTTAACACTGCTGACTGCCAGTTTGAGTTTTGAGGCTCCTCTTCCACTGCAGCATTCGTTCAACCAACATTGTTCGCACCATTGAATCAGCCAAGTGCCTGGTGGCAGGGCTCTTCCAGCAGAAACAGACAGGTAAGGACAAACTGCTAAGAAGCATTTTACAGTACCAAGTTCATTTTGTCAAAATTCTTCATAAGCCTCCCTGCAGAAGCAGGCAGCTCACAAAACAGTTAATTTTATACTCAAAATGCTCATCAACACTCCAAAAACATCCCAACACAACTAATTTAATCAAAACATCAACAGTAGTAGGGGTGGGTTATATGGCAAAATATAATATCACAATACATTTTCACAGGCATGTACATGATAAGACTTGCATCATCACCTGAGTAGGACTTCAGCTCGGAGAGGAATCAGTGATTGGCCTTTTTACATATATTGAGTTGCAACTAGTCTCTGTAATAATTATAAATTTTGGACTTTGTTGTTCAATATAGTATTTGTGACTTAGCAAATTTATGTCCAGTTTATTTATTTCATGTTTATTTTATTTATATCATGTTAGTTTTGGAGTTAACATTTGTGTAATAATGGAAGCAAGCTTCAGAATAATGTAAGCTACAGAATATTGGAAATTATGTTCTCTGAATGCATTCTGTATTCAAGCAAGGACAAAAAAAGTTCTTCACTTTGGTCCAGATAGAGTATTGTTATGCAAACTGAGTGAAGAGTTTTGAAAAAGAGAAATAACAACTCTAAAGAACTGTGATATTTCCCTTTATGTTTTCTCTAGACATTGTGCCTATCTTCACAGTGGAAGCAGAGAGAGAAGTCTTCTACCCAAACTACTATGGATGCAAACTGCTGAAACTGCGCAGTGGGTAAGTTCTGCACTGATGTGGAAGTAAATCCTGTTTTACTCATTGATGATAGTAGCCCACAGTAAAGGTGTCTGGTAAAACACATGGCACATTCATTAGTCTTAATCCTTATTACCCATATAGTAGTCATAGGCAAAAACTAGACACTTTAATACCATTTGTAAAACTCAAGTCAGTTCCAACAGCAAATCGTTGATAACCGATCCGCTACTTGTCACAAGACATGTGCATGCAGCATTGTATAGGCAGTTGCTTCTATATGAAGACAATGGTGCTATTATTATAATAAAACAATTACTTTTGTACCATACTATTAATCCATTACTTTTAAACAATTACACATTCCTTGTGTTTCACCGTTCATTCTGTGCCTCACCATACTCTGGTGAGACTGGAGTACGTGTATCAAATTAAGTCTACGAGCTGCATGCCAAAAAAAATTAGGTCATCATTTGTCTTAGCCCAGTTTGTCGATTTCATTGTCTTTTGGAAGTGGGTCAAGCAGTATATGCCCATTTTCAAAATAAGTGGAGTCTCTGCCCGTTCACTTCACCAGTGGAGTGTGTTGTGCTTCTTTAGTTAAGCAGTATTACAGAAAGTGTCATATAGAGATGCGAAAGAGGTGGGTGAGTGTGGTTTTGTACATGTGGTCTTGATTCTAGTGTAACTTAACTAGTCTCAGTCTTGAAATCATTTGGATTCTGTTATGTCATTTGTTTTTTCATTGGTTCCAGAATTCAAACATTCCCTGAGGGCGGAAGGGAATGCTATTATTACTGTTTACATTTAATAATGAAAATGGATATATATTGTTTAGTTTGGATTCAGTAGACTTTAGGTGGTGAATTGTTAATAACAAGGAAAGGACTGAGAGTAACCTCACCATCATTTATTTCCAAAAGTTACAATGCAAAATTGGAATAAGACTGTAATATAATGATAAATAATAATATTTGTAGATTATATTGTCTTTTCTCTCACATATCTTAAATATGATTTATTAATATATATTATGTAAAATGAACAAATGAATTATTTTTTTCCCCTGTTCTTCTTATTTTTATATTTGGAAAAATTGCAGCTCTTCTGATTTAGATGGATAGATAGATACTTTAGTGATCCCGATGGAAATTAAGCAGCCACTATCAGTCACACAACACAGGACAGTTATAATAATAAGGGTGATACAATATAAAAAGAAGAATATATACAAAAACCTATCTACAGGCATATATACAACTAGAAATATATAAAAATATGCAAGAAGATCTATCTTGCAGTAAAAAAGGCAGTGCAATGGTGAATGTACAAGGAGGCACAGGTGACAGCATATAATGACAATACTGAATAAACATGAGCATATATTGGTACTAAAATAAAGTGTCTAGGTGTGAAGTAGTGTCTAGATGTGCAAGATGTGCGATAATTGAACTCAATACCCTGAACTCAAAACCCTGAGTCACCACTTAACCATGTAATGGGCTGATTGTGATGAGCTGTTCTGTCATTGGACCTGCAGTTATCGCTGGGCAGAGTCGTCTACGTTGCCGGACATTGCTTCAGATCTTCGAAGCATTCAAAGCGCGCTGGGCATCCAGTCTCACCAGCGCCTCGATTTCATCCTCATCAGAGATGACATGGTGGCCAGAGAGGTTAATCAGCATTACACAGACATGGGATTATTGACATTGTCTCAAAGTAGTGTTATAAATGTCATGTCCAGATGGCACATTATATGTGTATCATGTAAGCATCGGCGGATCCTTCGAAAAATCTTCACATCAGTATGAGTTTAGTTTTTGGTTCTAGTGTCAACATAATGATCCAGCATAACTTTAGTCTTTGAGCAAGATTAATCAGTTTTACAGAAGCAACCTACACACCTCTGCTACCAATGAAAACATCAACTTTTGTTTCCGTTGATACAGACAAAATTAATTCAGTACAGTTCAATGTTTAAAAAATAAAAAAAACAGCACTATAAAATTGAAATATATTTTTTTATATGGCATCTGTAGTACATTTGTGATGGCAAAAAATGTTTTTGAATTTATACTGTTTTATACTGCATTTATAAGGATTTATCTCCTTGTTTCCATAGGGTAGCTTAAGCACTATTTGACAGAATTGGTTTTCTAATGGGGAGGTAGCGTAATGCCAGTTTACCACAGGATAACCATAATGTTTGAGACCAATTCACACGAAATAATCAGAATCAGAATCGCTTTATTTGGCCAAGTGTGTTACACATGCAAGGAATTTGTCTTGGTGAGTGCACACGTGTATGATGTGTAACATACTAAACAGACCAGACAAGCGCACAGACTAAAGGAAAAGTAAAATAAAATACAATAAATAGAATATAGAATAAAGAGTTACAATAAAAAGAACAGCCAATGTGAAAGGAGCTCAGGAGATATAAGATGTATGGATATCTGTACATGTGCAGTTATAAAATATACTATAAAAATTTATGTATGCAGAATATTGCAGAATGATACAAATATTTGAAAAAAATTCTTTTTTACAAATAACAGTAGTGCAAATAGGCATTATGCTACAGGAGGAGTTATACTGTAATACTGCAAGGAAGGTTTGTTGGTTCAGTTTAAGTTTAAAGTGCAAAATGTCCATGGTGGATGATAAGTGCTACAGCTCTGGGGAAAAAACCTATTAGCATGTCTGGATGTGCTGGCTTTGATGGCCCTGAATCTTCTACCAGAGGGGAGTGGCTGGAGGAGGTGATGTCCAGGATGAAAGGGGGTGGCTGTAATTTTGCTTCGTCGCACTGCTGTTGCAGATGTCCTGTAGCGTTGGCAGACCACATCTAATGATCCTCTCCACTGTCCTGATTATGTGCTGGAGTTTGGCTCGCTCTTGTGAGGTGGAGGAACCAAACCAGATGGTTATGGATGATGAATGTATGGACTTATCGCTGTGTAGAACTGGATCATCAAAATCTGCGGCGGGTTGAATTTCTTGAGCTGTCTAAGGAAGAATATGCTTTGCTGTGCTATGCAGACCGTGTTCATCTCCCACTTCAGATCCCTGGATATGGTGGTGCCCAGGAACTGCGCCTGAGGTCCACCACCATCTCCACTGTCTTCTCCGTATTCAGCAGCAGGTGGTTGCTGCTGCACCAGGAGACCAGCTGCTCGAGGCCCACCACAGTGGTGTCATCTTCAAACTTCAGGGTGCTCACAACTGATTCCTCAGAGACACAGTCATTGGTATAGAGAAATCATGGAATAAATGACCAAGATGAGAGGGGCTCCTTGATTTATGCACTGCCTGTACTCCAGAAAAGACTGTCATTAGCTTGGGAATTCACAGCCAACAGTCAGCATCGGCACATAAAATCATAGCTTTTTCTGTAATGTTTACGTTTTAATGTTCTGAGTTGTACATTTGAGGTAGGACAGTGCGGATCAGCTTGAATTTAGCAAAACGGAACACGTGCTTCTTTGAGTGCCTCCATAATTAATAAACTCCTTTTCCACAGAAATCATAGCATATTTTACTGACATGTCAATTTGCACAGAATTAATATAACCTGAGGTTATATCTACAGTCCGCTTTATAGCAGGTAAAAAGTGCTGGAATCTTTACTGACACAGGAGTCACCCAGTCTGTAAAAATGACTGACATGGCACATCAGGACGGGACTAAAATAATTGAGAAATGGCTATAAAAATTACACTACACCACCTCCTTATGTAAAACTATCCTATCCAAACAGGGCTTTAGTTTATCTCAAGAAATATATGTCTTGATAGCTGTTAAAATTCACAAATGATGTTGCTATTGTAATATAAGAACATGACCAAAAGCACGTTCTTGAATCTGAATCTTGATTACTTACAACTCTAACTACATAAAATGTCCATGTTACATTGTACTCCATGTTAGGTTATGGCCCCTCACCCCATTACACATTAATGCAAAGAGCTGTACTTTGGCAGCAGTCAGACATAATAAATGTACAATTTTATTTTGATTTTCAACGATACCAAAACACCAATACTGGCATCAGTAGAACTGGCAAGTGTTGGACTTTGTCTGCTCTTAAATGTAATAAATTTACAGTTTAGAGTACATTGTTTGTAGAGTTTTGAGTATGCAAAACCATATAAACTGGCATTAGCAGATATAGACATGAAAGTAGTATAGTACAAAGTACATGCTTTATTTTGGTTTGCTCTAATTGCATCCCTGTGTCCCTATAGACTCATGGTTTGCCATGTCCTGCAGTGCTGGACAGCTGGAGGGCCAGAGTAGAGCAGAGAGCTGTGGACATGATCTATCACATCTTTGATCCCAGTAACAGGTGAGCCACACTGAGAAGGCATCTACTGCCTTCAAGGATGTGCGGAAGGATAAAGTTAGGGCTGAACATTACGATAGGATTTGTGTGGTCCTCATTCAGTTAGCTGTATGCTGTACATTATTTGTATAATCTGCATGTTTTTCCTCTGGGTATTTTTAGTCCTGGGTTTTTTGTTTTTTTTTTGTTTTGTTTTTCCCCCATTTTGTCTTTGTTTTTGTTGTGCTTTTGTTCTTAACTCTTCATTGCTCTTTCACTCACTTCAGTAGGCAGGCACAGGTCTGTGCCTTGTGTGTTTAAAGCAGGTTCAGCCAGCTTGAGCAGGAGAAATACATATGGAAATGTGAGCGAGAGATAGTGATTTTATACGTGCCTACAGTTTGTATTAGCTTCAAAAATCATGTCCTTTATCTACAAACTGCTGTGTTGTGTTAAAACACAGAAAAGCCTTTCCTTCTAAAAGTCCAATTTAAAAAAGTCGGGACTGTAGATGAAGGCAAGACGAGGCAAGTTTATTTACGTAGCACCTTTCATACACTGTCATTCAAAGTGCTTTACAAATGAGAGAATAGAGAGTCATTAAAAAAGTAAAGAAGAATATAGATTAAAAACATGACTAAACAATAGATTTAAAAGGAAATCATTACATTAAAAATCTAATTAGAAATTAAATTAGAATAATTAAAAATCAAATAAATTTAATTACAATAATAAAGGATAATAAAGTGCGGTTACAGAGGAGAAGAGCTAGAAAAGCTGAGAATGTTTCACACTGAGCTGAAAGCTTCCTCAAATAGAAACGTTTTAAGCCTGGATTTAAAAGTGTCAGGGCTCTTTTAATGTTCTCTGTCAACTGGTTCCATTTAAGAGCAGCATAGTAGCTACACACTGCTTCTCCATGTTTAGATTTTACCTTTGGCAGGACTAACTGACTGGTTCCTAATGATCTGAGAGTTCTGCTCGGCTTATATCGCTGCAGCATGTAAAATAAATGTGCTGGCCAGTGTAAGGATTTAAAAAAAGTGGTGATGTGTTCTTTCACTCCTAGTGAGAGCGCTGGCAGCTGCATTTCAAATCATTTGAAGCTGTTTGATAGTCTTTTTCTGGCAGTCCAGTTAGGAGACCATTACAGTAATCAGTCCTGCTATAAATAAAGGTGTGGATGAGTTTCTCCAGGTCTGCTTTAGTCAGAAAATCTCTGATCTTGTTGATGATTTTAAGGTGACAAAATGCTGATTTAGTGAGAGCTTTGACATGACTGCTAAAACTTAAGATCAGAATCCATTAATACACCAAGTTTGTGTACTAGTTCTTTAGATTTTAGGGCTCTTGAATCCAGATAGGCAGTTAGTCGGTGCCTCTGATTGCTTTTCCCAAATAAAATAATCTGTTTTATCATTATGCAACTACAGAAAGTGCAAATAATAACAGAAAACAGTGATTTGTAATCTGTTGTAAAAGGTATTTAATTGAAAACAACACAAAGAAGAGATATCAAATATTTAACCTTATCAACCTTACAAACATTGTGAAAAATATTAGCTAATTTCAAATTTAATGCAACACATTCCAGAGAGGTTGGAATAGGAATGATCAAAATCACCAGGTTTGGAACTTTTGATAGTCACATGTTGATGGTCTCTTATGGATCATCTACAGATACTTAAATGAATAACAGACCTTCCGGTGATACTTAGTTGATTATCAACAATGTTATGGTTAGAGTTAGGTTTAGGAGTAGGTGTCGGCTTTGTGTTGAAGTTAGGGTTAGATTTAGGAGTAAGGTTTGATTTGATAGAATCTATTACACTCAACTTAACTCAAGTTCTGTTGCATTTAATAGATATTTTGTTAAATATTAGTTAAAGACAGACTGAGCATTTAAACAGCATCTACAGTGGACCATCAAAGTACAGTGTTACTCTTTCCAGAGGTAAACAGGTGATGCTATCATGATTGGGTATAAAACGAGCACTCACAAAAGGCTCAGGCAGCCCTTTTTTTTTTTTTGAAAACCTGTATAAGCGAATAGTCTAACAGAGTAAGAACAATGTTTCATGACTGCAAAGAAATTAGTAATTTCACCTTCTACAATCCGTAACATTTATACAAAGATTCAGAATCCTGAAAAATCTCTGTGTGTAAAGAGGAAGGCCAAGAGACAATTTTGAATGCTCGTGACCTTTAGTCCTTCAGACGTCTTTGCATTAAAAACCAACATGCTTCTGTAATGAATAAAACCACATGGGCAAACAAATGCAAATTAAGACTCTGCGATGCACAGCTTAAGCCCTATATCAACAACATCCAGAAACGCTGTTTCTCAGGGCTAGAGCTCATCCGAGATGGATGATTGATGCACAGTGGAAACACGTTTTGAGACCTTTGTAATTGTTAAGGACCATCCTGAATGTTGCTAATGCAAAGTTCAAAAACCAGCGTCTGTTATGGTACTGCAGTGTGTTAGTAGGTAACTTCCACATCTCTGAAGGCACCATTAATGCTGAGGGGTTTTGAGACCTTTCTAATCGTTAAGGACCATCCTGACTGTTGCTAATGCAAAGTTCAAAACCCAGTGTCTGTTATGGTACTGTGTTGTGTTAGTAGGTAACTTCCACATCTCTCAAGTTAGTCATTTTTGAGAAACGTTCCTGGACATGGATTAGGCCTAGCTCTAGACACAGCATTTTAAATGGAGATTCTCCATTGAAAGGAAAATGATGCCTCTGACTGGGACACAAACCCATAGACCTATGAAATATATTTTAGCTGTTGAGAGACTCACAATGTCAATCATGGCTTCAAATGTTGTATGCAGAAATACGCACAATTATTAGAGATGTTGGAATGCTACATAAAACTTACATTCTGCATAAATAATTTGAAAACTGACTGAAAGCTTGAATTTATTATACAGTAAATGACTCTGTAGGCATGAAACCAGATGATATAAACTTACACACTTTACTCCTAATTTTTATATAGAGATTTTGGATTCTTGCTTGATTTTTTTTCTTTTAATGTTTTTTTTCTTTTAATGTTTTAATGAAAATCCATGACATGACCAGAGAGGCCCTAAGTGAGTTGACATGGAATGATCAAAATACAAACAGCAGTGTCTGAATACCCACTGGCTGTGGCTAATTTCTAAGAGAAGGGGAGACAGTTCTCAACACTTTTTAGTTGAGTATCTGCTGAAAGGCAGGGAGTAGTGGGACCTTTACAGAAAAGTAATGGTGTGGTTGTTTTTTGTGTTCAGGGAGATTCTACAGCTGTGTGTTGGTCCTTTCCTCCACATACTCCTCAGCAACATGGAGATGAAAGTGCAGGGTAGTGCCTTGGATGAAGACAGGTAAGACTTCATATTTTTAGCACTAAAACCTACATGGTCAATACAAATACTGGAAATAACACATTATCCAAATACAGTCACTTTTTGTCTTTTACTTATATTTTATTTTGCCTGCTCATTGGCATAAAGCAGTTTATATTTGAAAGTAGTCAAGATTTGATTCCTGCAGCCCTCTAGTGTTTAGGCCTGAAAATGGAGCTGCTACAGTTTGACTTGGCATTATGTGTTTGGGTTAGAGGTATAAAATATCAAAGGTAAACGGTGATTAAATTGCATCTAATTTGAATGTTAGAATCAATTATAATCAGGGGTTAAATCTGAATTTTAGAAGTAGTGCCACAAATAGTGTTGTAGTACTCAAGTCCAAGCTCAGTCTCAGGCCATAAATGAGCCATCCCAACATGATTTTGACTCAGTCTAGTCTTGGTTTGGGAGTAGGGCAAACCCTAGACCAGCCAAGTGCAATGCCTGCATCTGAGGTATCTGGACATTGAACTTTTTACTGTAATTACTGAATATCAACAAAACCTTCAGACAGAATAAAACCGTCTTTTCTCTACATGTTTAAATACAATTTGTTCACTGCCAGTTGAAGATCTACAACCCCATTTCCAAAAAAAGGTTGGGAAGCTGTGCAATATTTTAAATGTAAGCCCATTTTGAATTTGATGGCAGTAACACATTTCAGAAATGTTGGGACGGGGCAATGCAAAAAAAAAAATAATAATAAATAAATAAATAAATAAAAGAACATCATTGTATCCACAAATGCAAGTTAAAACCATGCAAAGAAGAAACCGTATATAAACAGGATCCAGAAATGCTGCCACCTTCTCTGGGCCTGAGCTCAATTAAAATGGACTGAGGTGATGTGGAAAAGTGTCCTGTGGTCTGACAAATCAAAATTTAAAATTCTTTTTGGAAATCATGAATGCCACATCATCCGGGCTGAAGAGGAGAAGGACCACCCGGCTTGTTATGAGCGCATAGTTCAAAAGGCAGCATCCATGATGCTATGTGGGTGCATTAGTGCACATGGCGTGGGTGATTTGCACATCTGTGAAGGCAGCATTAATGCTGAATGATATGCAGGTTTTGGAACAACATATGCTGCCATCCAGATGATGCCTTTTTCAGGGAAGGCCTTGCTGATTTTAGCAAGACGATGCCAAACCACATTCTGCGTGTGTTACAACAGCATGGCTCCATAGTAAAAGAGTCTGGGTGCTAAACTGGCCTGCCTGCAGTCCAGACCTGTCACCCTTTGAAACATTTGACGTATTATTAAAGGAATAATGCGACAAAGGAGACCTTGAACTGAAATCCTACATCAAGCAGGAATGGGAAAAAATTACTTTCAAAACTATAGCAGTTGGTCTCCTTAGTTCCCAAACACAGAGTGTTGTTAAAAAAAGAGGTGATGAAACACAGTGGTAAACATGCTCCAGTCACAACTTTTTTGAAACGCGTTGCTGGCATCAAATTCAAAATGGGAATATATTTCTCAAAAAGCAATAAAATTCTCAGTTTCAACATTTGATATGTTGTCTTTTTACTATTTTCAATTAAATTTGGGGTTTAAATAATTTGCACATCATTGCATTCTGTTATTATTTACATTTTGCATAGCGTCCCAACTTTTTTAGAAATAGGGTTGTAATTGATCCATTTCATGATGGCTTAAATGGGTATTATTTGTTTGCTTTTTTTTGTTTTGTTTTTTTTGGTTCTAAAATTCAAACATCTATTAAAATGTTGTTATCAGTATGTTTTCATTTAATAATGAAAATGTATAAATGTTGTTTGGTTTTGTATTCAGTTGACTTTGGGTGGTGATTCTGGATAAATCTTAGAGAAAAAAAAAAGAGAATGAAAAAAGTTAAAATCCAAAGTTGAACTAAGATAATACAGTATTTTTTTTTGTTTAAATATTATTTAATGTTGTATTTTACAAAATATATTCTAAAATATAATATTTATTAATCTATATTATCTATGATGAATATATGATGAACTACAAATGGATTTCTGGCCTCGGCCTCGTATCAGTCTCGGCCACTTCTGGTCTCGATCTTGACTCTGACTCAGCCACTTCAAAGTCTTGGTCTTGACTCTGACTCTGAAAACACCAATATTTTTCTGCTGAGTAGTACTAACTAAGTTTTTCTTTGATATACAGCCATGTGCAAAATTTGAACAAACCTGGTAAAATTATGTTTTGTTAATTTTGTTGAACACACCTTTTTTCTTCTCAATTTTAGTTGAACATATTGGTGGAAAAAAAAAACATAAAATGTGCCAAATGGATGTGAACTTTTGCACAGTCCATATTTTTGTGTTTTATTTTTTCTAATATGTTAAATAAATGGTAATTGTGCATGCAAATATGCAGAAGTGTGTTCTCTATAGAGGATGTGTTGACTTATTTTCACTTAAAAAAAATCAACAAAACATAATAATGTCTGTGAATCTAGCTGGAACATCAAAAAAATGAATGCCAGTTTAGAAATCGTAATTTTAAATACTGGCAGTTGACCCCATGGGTCACTAAAGTGTCCCAAAGGGTGCCCTTTCCAATGGAGAAGTGGAATGCAGTGCTGTATAGGTGACTCCTACAGGTGAGAAAACATGATGAAGTGCCCAATCAGGTGCTCCTCTAAAGGAGAAGTGCCCCTTCAGTGAAGAAAATGTGATGCAGTGCTGTGAAGGGTGTCCCTACATGCGGGAGAATGTGGAGAAATTTCCTAATGGATACCCTCCTGCGGAGAAAATGTGATGTGGTGCCATATAGGTGTCCTCACAATGGGATAAACTTGATGTTCCGTACAGGTGCCTTTCTGTTTAAAAAAAAAAAAAAAAAAACATGAACTGCTCCTATTAGATGCCATTCCAAGTGAGAAAACAAGATGAAGTGCCCTTGCAATGGAGAGAAAACAGTCCCAGTGAGGCCATCTAGGATGTGACCTATAGGGTAGGCTTTCTCAAAGTGTGTGCAGTCACAACAGTCTAGGGCTGCCGCCAAATACTTTAATAAGATTTTAAATTTACATCACACACCCTGCTTACATACAAAACACATTGTATGGCTGCTAACATATCTTTTCTGCATTTTTGCAAGGGGGGAAAATGTTAGGCTAATATCTAGCTAGTATTTTGATCTAATCTCATCTGCACTGTCCCTGTTTTATATTGTTCAATGTACCCTTTAGGTTAGGTTAGATTATGTTAAGTTAACTGTATTTGATAGTACAAGACAAAGTAAATTGTTGCCAGCGAAGACAGGTCAAAATACTCATTCCCATTGTTAAAAACTTGCATTCATTCCATCTGTGTAAGTTTTCTGTTTTAGCCACACCCCCTCTAGAATGTTCAGATGTCATGGGGGGGCTTAGTACAGTTTGAGCTGTAACCCCGACATCCTACCACAGTGTGTGAGGAAGGATACAGCAAGCTTTCTTTGATTTGAAATGATTGAGTTTTACCAGTGATGCGTTACTAAATACTAATGTATGTACACTGCAAGTGCTTTTATAGATAGCTGTATCACATTTTTTAGTCTAGATGCCCAGCTAAAGAGCTTGGGGACTCAATTTGGAAATCAAGCAGATGTTTAAAACATCCTTTTCTAAGGGAATTATTCTAGTGTCATTTGCACAAAATTACCTTTGATCTTTAAACTCTGGAGCCAAAGGACTGTATATATTAGGATGTCATTTTACTTCTGTTATTTTTAGAGATTTCATATTTTTTAGTGGTATTTGTTTGTTGATTGTGTTTTTGAACAGGCTGGTTGTTATTGGGTTCAGTCGGTGCTGTTTATCTCTTCGTTGATGTGCTTGATTTTCAATAATATGTACTGTCCAGCTGTCTTGTCATATGCGTCTCATTGATTTGGCTTGTAACTCGTGCTCACTTAGTGAACCTGAAATCAAAACAGAGCTTTTTTTCTTGTGAGTTCACCTCTAGTAAAATCCATTGTGTCTTATCATTCAAAAGAGAAAATTCCCATATCTATATAATCTTTGATCGAATGTAATGACTTTTGGCTTCTTCTAAACGTGGTCTGACGTTTGGTTGCATCACCCTGTTTCAATGGGAAGGAAAACTGTTATACTGTTTAACTGTCTAGAGATTATTTTTCAGTACAGTTTATATTTCCATCAGATTACAGTACTGGAGTTCAGCACTGCCTGCTGTTCACATGAACCAAACGTGCTGGTGTTCCTCTGCTGTGGGGTTCAGCCCAGTTTAATCCCTGGTATAATAATATTCCACAAAGTTTGTGCTCATTTTTTGTTTGAAATTAAAGTCCAACCAAAAAATGATAGTTGTCAAATGTCAAAATGAAAAAAGCCATGAGATTTTTTTTGTTGTTGTTGTTGTTGTTGTTGTTGTATGTATTTACTGTGTATATAATATCACAACCCGATGGCACTGCCTCACATTTACAGACATGTCAGTGGGCTGAGCTAGAGTGCAGGTGGTGCTGGCAGACTGGCAGTTAAATAAAATCGTGTGGCTAATGAACTGCTTTTGTAGTTCATAGTTATATGTGGCAGTACTTTCATGATTTCATGTCTACTCCTATTTAATTTAATTAACTAGTAGACCTACAGAGCAGAAATTACCTAATTTGAGCAAAACTGCTTTAGCCATCAAGCACTGTAAACTCCAGAATCGTCAACGAGTGAACGGGGTTATGTGACTAGTGAAGCATCTACATCAATATGTGAATCTTTTGCACTGTTTTTAATGATAGTCACTGATATTCAGTCAAGGCTGGGATACCCAAGACCTGAGGTTCTGACATTTTTTCAACCACAATCCACGTTGCATGATTTTAGAAAGATATCTGACACAGAGCTCCGAAAGATAATTCATTAAAATAAATTCATCAGTTTTAAGTAATTTGAGACCAATTTCAAACCTAGTATTTTTAAGTAAAATACAGGAAAAATAGGCTTTGCACAAATAAACGAGTTCCTAAATGAAAATGATGTTTATGAAACATTCCAGTTGTACTTTTACTGGCACTTTTAGATTTAAATACAGCATTTGATATAGTAGACCATTATACTCTTATGAATCGTTCAAAAATTCGGTAGGCCTTTCTAGAGTTGTCTTAAAGTTGTTTTATACATGTCTTAAAGGTAAGAAGTACTTTGTTAGTTTAGCTGAACTTTGCTCCATCGAATATGACATACTTCATGATGTTCCACAGGGTTCTGTATTAGGCCCGCTTCTTTTTTCTCTGTACGTGCTTCCATTAGGTTACATTATTAAAAAGCATGAAGTCAGTTATCACAGCTATGCTATGATCGATTAGATGGACAGATGAGATACATAGATAGATAGATAAATAGATAACTTTATTAATCCCAGAGGGAAAGTCGTGTATTACAGCAGCACAAGTGCAATGAAGAGCAAAACAAGAGCAAAATATTACTGGAAATTTTTATACAGATGCATAAATAGAAGAAAATATATATAATAACAGTATAATAAAACTACCATGGAAAGCATAATGTGCAGTAAATAAGTCACATAAATAATGTTTAAATGATACAAATGCTTTAAATAAACTGACTTGTTTGTCCAGTATCATTAACTAGATTATTTTTTAATTTTTTATTTTAAGTTAAATGAAGAAAAAACGGGAATTCTTATAATTAGTAAAGCAGAGAGAACAAAAGTTTTAAATTAGTTGGGAAGTTTGGCTCCACAATGGAAAGATGAAATTAGAAATCTTGGTGTAATTTTAGACTCCATCTTAACTTGTAAATCTCACATTAATATTGTTATAAAACCAACATGCATTTAGCACAAGTTAGACCTTTTCTCAAACTGCAAGTTGCTGAGAAGCTGATCCATGCTTTTGTTTTTTCATGACTAGAGTACTGTAATGCGTGATTTAATGGGTACCTAAAACCACAATTAACAGACCACAACTTGTTCAGAGTTTTTATTCTCATTTTTTTCCATTCTCATTCTATGTTTATTTTATTGTTTTCTTTATATTTCAATGTTTAGTTGTTCATATTTCTTTTTATTTATTTATTATTATTATTATTATTACCATTTTTTTGAACAAGCATTTTTTTCAATTTTTTTTATTTTGCTACTTACTGTTTTATATATATGCTTTTGATGTTTTATTTAATGTCAATTTGAAGCATTTTATGGTGCTATATAAATAAAGTTGTTATTAATATTTTTATTTGCATAACAATTAGCATACCCAAATATTTATGGACTTAGTTTGAGGCAGTTTCATGTGAATGACCCATTTGTGTATTTGGTCTGTTTTTTTAAAAAATGAATTCTTGAAATTATTTAACTGAATCAATTTGTGATAAAATTTGAAAGGCTGAATCAAATTGTTGTCAGTTCAGAGATTTATGCCACTTAATGTCTGTTTGCGGTGCAAGGAAGCTGTTCCTGTACTCGGTGCATGATACCACGCTGATGCCGTGCTTGATGGCGCTGGGTGTGTTTGATATGAGATGGCCACCGTATGCTGCTGACATCACCCTGGAGCTGCACCAGCACCGGCAGACCAAGCAGTATTATGTCAAAATCTCTTACATCGGTCAGGTAAGATTCTTTATACATACACAAAGTCTTCACACCACTTTGACACATGGTCAATCATAGAACATTTATGTCTGAACATAAATGCATTCTAGCCGTGTTTTTATATGTTCCTATAACAGCATGTTTTTTCCTTCATACTTGTCATTTTGCTAGCCACCAGTTGCTAAGTAACAATAATCGTCGCTTTACCCTACCCTAGTTTTTTGGCTTAAACATTTTTCTTTACTTTTTCTTTACTTTGTAAAACTGTTATATAAAATGCAGAAAACAGAACACTCAAGATTGTGTGTTATCACACATAACATCATGCCTTCAGTTCATGCCCTTGACCAAATCACAGCCATGATGTTACCTGCAAAAAGCACACTCTGTCTCGTGTCCTGTTGCTTAAAAACAGTGTGGTCGAGATGTCTAAACCTAGACTAAATTATCCTTTCAAATAGTGAAACACCATTTACATTACAGTTTAGTCCAATACAAAGCTAAGTCCATGTCCCCGAAAGCAGCCATATACAGTCAGGTCACAAAATATTTGGACATCAACAAAGTTATTATTTTTGCTGTCTACAGGATATTATTAATATTACACAATGAACATGAGTGCAGATTTTCAGCTTTAATCTGAGGGTATTTGCATCCAAATCAGGTGAACGGTGAATTACAACCATTTTCATATATAGCCTCCCTTGAAAAGTTCTTAGACAAACTGACTCATTCAGCCACGAGTGTTAGTGAGGTCAGGTCGGCCAGTTGGATCTGTGACAAAAACAGCACTCCAAAAAAAGAAGTTCGATGCTTCCATCATTGCAGATAACACATTTTAACTGCCCCACAGTAAAATGGTGGGGAACTCCTCTAACCAGTGCTTAGCATTGCACATGGTAAATTTAGCTTCCCTGTTTACCGCTAGTGCTTTTCAATGGAGATTTCACATCTGTATGCACAGAAATGAACAAATATTTCAGCAATGGATGCATCTAAACTGGCCAGACTGGTCACTGGTTAGAAGGAATGTCCGGTATGGTTGGGTAATATGACAAAAATAGATCATGATGATCCGCATTACATTTCACAATATTTTGTTTTTCTGCACTTTGATAAGTTGGAAAAGATGCCAGCATAACAGTAGTACACAAAACATAAAAAAAAAAAAAAGTAACACTTTATTTGGATAGCCCACTGTAGATGATTTGTAGCTTACCTTGCCTTTAACTTACATTTAACTAAAAGCTATTACATCCGAATTATTTTCCTTAAACCTCATACTCTAACCCTAAACTCCTTAAACCGTAAGCCAATACATAATCCTAACCCCAACCCTGGTATTAAACATAAATTGTTTTAAATCAAAAGCTGTTAAGATTCACAATGTGAAAAGCTGTTTGATTGTCTGAGGGGGGCTATCCACATAAAGTGGGACCAAAGGTGCAATCAAAAACTTTTTTTTTTTTTAATTTGTACTTCTATAAAATCCAATTTAACAGAACCATCTGTTGCAGTGGTACTAATCAATAACTGCACAGAAGCCTTTTTGCAATTGTGAATATGAAGTTGTTCATGAGCCTCAGAACTTAGATCACTTGACTTCATTAACATGCATTTTAAAGCAACATTATGTAACAGTTTTACCTTCAAATAACAGCTTCAAAATCATTTTGATGGTACAACAACTTAAAGTAGGGAGAATGGCATGTCTGTCATTGCCACTCCGGGCCTGGAATGTCTGCTATAGCGCTATGTAACTTTACGAGTGGGCACAGCACCTTTAGTGAGAACTGCCTAATGCTTTATGGCACCACGTCACACACCAACGAGTGCACGAGCGCCACACAGGCATATGGATGCTATAGGTTACGCTCGTGATTTTGGTTGTTTACACATAAAAACAGTAACCGTGAGTGTCATCTGTAGCATCCATATTCCTGCATGACACGCATGCATGAGAAAGGGAGTTAGGTTCTGTATCTATCAGCTTGTCAGCAAATGCACATGTCCAGGAGGAGGGCTCAAAGCGCAATTTATATTTATGACAGTGGTGTAAAAGTGAAATACGCGATTAATACAGTTAATATACGGCTCAATGACGGTTAAGAACTACGCTCACCACAGAACACGTTCAATTTTGGATGTAAGGCTGTAACACACCTGAACGTGATGCAAATATATGACACAAACATTGAAATACAGTTTTTTGCATCAGATGTGACATGAAAATTGCTGTGTTGTTCACACCATGAAAAAAGTGGGCAGAACACCAATCAAAAAGATATCCTTTGCTTTTCACAAAAATGGGCAAACTGTGACATTATGCAGGATGCCTTCTTTCTTTGGAAAAGCAAAAGGAGAAAGAAGAGTTTCTCCACCTTATTCAGGAGCTAAAACTCTTGTATCTGAGGGTAAAAGTATGGATATCTTACCTGCTTCACCACACATAACTGACCAGTAACATTACTATTCATACAACAGCTGGACAGTACATATGTCCATTAGCTATGTCAAACATGTAGCTCGAGCTCTGTTGCTCTCCTTCTTAGCTTGCCGGTGTTCTGCCCGAATTGTGCTACCTTGTCAAAATGTCCTCCCGTAGTACATATTTACAGGTAGCTCCCTACGTTAAACTGTAGATAGGATTTTTAGATAGCCTAAAATGCACAAAGCTGAAGTCAGCTCCTTATTTGCCAGCTTCAGGTTTGAATTTTCCTATTACACCCTAAATGGTGCATCAGTTACGTTCTGGCACCTCTGGCACCAGTAAAGGTGGAATGGGAAAATTTGAACAAGAAGCTCAGCCTCATCTATATCACCATGTTAGAAAATGCTGCCAGCATTAAAACTACAGGTAGGATGTGTTGATGGCCAGTCACCCTATCAAAAAACACTACTTGCACTGCCAGCCTTAAATGGTGCTGCAGTTATATTCTGGGCACCTGCGCCTCATTTCAGGTGGAACATAAAATTTGGATAAGATGCAAACGTCTTGTGAAAAGAAAAACAGAAGATAACATCTAGCTGCTAATCAAAACTTTCACTTCAGATAAGGTTAACTGGTTAATAATTTTCTCAGTACACTGTTTCTCCTCGTCCAATAGCATGTTCAAACTTGAGCTTCCTTCATCTAATTTTAAGACTTGTTGAAGCATTATTGCGCAGTAATCACTTATTAAGCTACCTGATATGTGTGCGCTATGGGTATAGGAGTATTCTATGCATTTTCATCATATCGCTATCTATAGCTACTCAAAAGATTAGGCAAACTATGTTTAGGATGGTTAAGTCTCTGCTACATCCCATTTATCCCCGGCTCTGGCACTGTATTGTCTTAAAATGGAGAGGAGTCGAGGACGAGACACATTTCAGAAGCAGGAGTCAGGAGTCAGAGTCGACTCTAGAAAGTTATGCATCACTAGGTTGCAGTTGTGCTAGAAGTAGTTATAACTGTATTATTGTTTTTATTTTGCACATCGTAACAAATTGTAGTGAATTTGTTGTTTTGTCATGTTTGCTGCTTACTCTTTTTCATGTAGAAAGAGCAGGAAAATGCATTTTATGTATGAATTTTACAGAAAATATTGCCATTACTATTACTTTTTAATGTTTATTTACTGTTGAATAAACTTTCAAAAAATGATTGTATTATTTTGGCTTAATTACCCAGCAATAAATAATAATAGTTAAGCCAGAAAATCAGTCAGCTTCAGTGCACAGTGTGCATGCAGAATGCATTCATTCAGTGACTGGTCTTCTGAATCTGTGTTGGTGCGTCTCTACAGGATCAGAAGATTCCTGGCTGTAGTGATGTTTACTGTCCACTGGGAGAGTTCAAGCAGGCACTGGCCATGTATGCCCTGCCCGAGGAGAGCTATCATACCCTCTGCAACAGCAAACAAGACGTCCCCGACCAGTCACCTCGCACCACCTCTCGCCTCTGAGAGCACATCAGCGTCCACCACACATCTGCTCTGCTTATGCATATAACTTTGTTTAATTTCCAGTTTACATACACAAAGAGGAGTCAATCCTCATTTTTTAAAGTCTTCATTTTATATTGTTCCATGTTATATTGCTCCTTTCTATCAGTGGCAGACAGAGTGATGCATTTTAGTTTAGGACAGTCAGTGATCAGCAATGATCAGCATTTATGAACGCAGAAGAAAAAGGACAAACAGACATGTTCTAATTTGAAGAGCAGTCCCTTTAGCTTTTCCATTTACAGTGATTTTCATCATGTTTCCATAGACAATAACGATTTGCTAGAAAGACCTCATCACAGGCCTGAAAGGGAAATGGCTTCAAAAGTGAACTTTATTTATTGTTATAATGTAATCAGCAGTCTCTCACTGGTGAGCACACAGTATTTCATGTATATTTGACTGTCCATGTACAAGGAATCACTGTGTGTTGTGAATGTGTGCATCATGTACTCCCCTCTGTAGGGGGCATTTTACTGCACTGCTAGTGCATGTGTGCCTGTGTTGTGAAAGATAACTTGGATGCGTTACATACTTTATTGCTGTGTAGAATGAGCTTTTTTTCTGATGTGTTTTAAGAGCTGTTGAAGGAAAGTGTGGACAGACATGGTGTTAATGTTCTAAATACATGAGTGCATTCTATTTAAGATTGTTTATTTCTTTGAAAGTGAAGTTGAAATAATTATAATTTTATTTCTAAATGCTGTTTTACATTTTCATGTCAATACCAAAAGTTTTAGTCCACAGGCAGAGCCATATTTTCAACACACCCTGCATTTTAGAGCAGGAAGTGAAATTGCATCCCTGTTACTCATGGCCATGTGGTTTATTTGAAAGTGAATGTGTCCCAAAGTCTGAAAACCAGTGTGTAACTTTCAGAATTATCATTACTGAAACATACATACATACATGCATCATCTAAACCGCTTATCCTTCTGGGTCGCGGTGGGGTGCTGGAGCCTATCCCAGCTGTCATTGGACAGAAGGCAGGATACACCCTGGACAGGTCGCCAGTCCATCGCAGGGCAGACAGACATACATATACAATCACACACATTGACACCTAGGGGCAATTCAGCATGTCCATATTTTTAGAGTCTTTCAAATTGCAAACTGACAGAAACGCCAAAAATGTTATTTTTGCAGACTCAGTTTGAGGATTTTGTACACCAACACACAGTTCCAGTGTTGGTGTTTAAACGCTTGTGGAAAACTGTATTGGTGAATTTATTTGTTCTGTAGCTTATTTAGCATTTCATACATTATACAAGTATTGTTGGTCTATTTATGAAGAATTGCAGAATTTTTTTCTATATTTTCTATTTGACCACACAGTTTCATCTTAATCTCATGCAATGTTAGAAGAGTCTTCTACAATGTTTTGTCCTTACTGGCACTATTCAACCTTGCTGTCTTTCTCCAAGGTGACCTGCTGAGGACTCCAGTCACAAAAAAGTCTTCAGTTGGATTTAGAAATGCTGACTATGGTGTGAGGTGCAAAACAAAATAATCCTAGAAGGTAGATTCTGGAATGAGGCTTCAACAACTGCTGCATATAAAAGCTTGCCTTGTCCCAGACCACCAGACTACTGTGCAGATTATCTGCTGTTTTGGGTGAAGTGAGAATGATGTGAGTCTCAGAAAATGAGAAAATGAGTTACATGGTTATTCAAGTGTGGAACTCCAGTCTGGATGGTAGAAAATAACACTAGCCATGTACTGACCAGGGACATCAACTCTCCTTGAGAGACAACTTGTTCTATCTCTGCCTACTCCTCTTCCTCTGTTTCCTCCAGCCTGCTCCACTGTACGGCAGTTAGTAAAGCAGGCCTGTTGAATTGCTGTATTTGTTCACTTGTTTATATACACAGTATATACATACATATATACACATACTCACAAACATTGGCTGAGCCCCTTAGGTTTTTCTACATAAAACACAAAATGAAAAAAACTTTCTACACTCTAGTCTATAGACAATGACATCTTGATTCGATTTTTCTAATTTCCTAGAACTGATACAGAAATGTAGAGAAAAAGAGTTCACTGTTTGTCCTGGAAGAGTTTGTTAACTGATTTCCAAGTTTGTCTTGATCTTGGTAGTTTAGTGGCAGTGATAAGACATCTGAACTTTGGTTACTGAGAATGGTGTGCCAATGTGCAATAACGTGACTCTATATTCAGTGGTATGATAATATATCAGGCAATCACAGAGTAAAATGTAAAATTTATTCATATTGATATTGGTCTTTTTACAGTTTGAATTCATCTGTGGTTTCAGACTTAAAAAAAGAAAAAAAAAAAATCACATTTGAAACTTCAAATAACTGCTCCATTGTATCCTGTGGAAGCTTGGAATCTAAAAAAGCTGAGTCTGAAAAGGACATTTCTGGTTATCTTAAAAACGGTTTCTGACTACCTTAAAAACAAATTTCAAAAACAGTAATTTACGGAAAACTGTCATTTTGAAAAGTCACATTCAGGCCTGTAGAGATTCCCTTATTTTAAAATCCAGACAGTAACTACTTTTAGTTTGAATAATGACAAGAAAAAAGATGCATCACAAGAGACCTGCCTATCAGCAGAGATCTTATTGTTCTAAGAACACAAATATGCAAAGCATGGCATTTTTATCCACAATCATCAATTTCCTGGTTGACAATAAATCTTACTTTATTTCTCCTAACCATCCCTCTTCACTTGGAAAATGATTCAGTGCCTCTAATTTCTGTCTTCTCTATTTTCTAATACATTATCAGATCACCACGAATAATAGGTAGATCACAAGGTCCACCTCAGCAATCATTCAAGTACATCCCAGTCCATCTCACCTGATCACTCAACAAGTATTCTTAGGTTTAAAAACAAAGCTACCTTTTTTAAGTGCACTCAAGATTACGCTATTTATAAAAAATAACTGTAATAATAATAATAATAACAATATTATAATTGCAGTAATTACAATAGTAGTAATCATTTTAAAGCATTCTACACAATCCTCATTTACAAATATCACCATGACCAACAGGCTTCACCCCCTGAGAGAAACATCACTGGTTCAAGTTTCCCACCTGTAGCAACTGCAACTCATCTTTAGTTTGGTTATTTAAATAACAGTTACGATTACTGTACGGAAAATCACACAATACCAATAACCATAATTACATCTATTAACTGAACCTCTTTTTCATGTGACGGATTCTTGGTATTTACAGTTGTCAGGTTTCAAGAAGGACAATCTTCCTCTTCACTGCTTCTTCCCAATATTCGCCACCTATGAAGACAGCATAAGTAACCAACATCAGTATAGCTTATAAATTGGGCTGAGAAGATATTTCTGTAGTTCAGTCTGTGTCATATTCTGCAGAGGGGAACCCCTAGGGCCTTATAAACATTCAGAGAAGGCATATTCGGTGAACTACAAAATACATGTCTGTAAAAATTTTTTGGCGATTTTTTCCATTTTTATTCAACAGAATCATGCTTGTGTTTAAACTCTGCAAGTATTACAGTACCACTTGTGCTTCACTGTTAAGGTCTGGATGGAAACAAAAGGATTTAATTCTTCAAACATCGAGTAGAAAACTGGCAAGTCAGGAGATGTTTTTAGCTGTGGTATCTATAGCTAAGTGAGCTCTCCTAGGACTTAAAGACCCGAAGAGAAGTCCTAATGCAGCAGACTAACATAATTACAAAGTGACAGAGGAATCAGTCTTTTGATTTCCAGTTAGCAGGACAAATTTTGTGCAAAAAACATCACTCTAGGAATTCTGGAACTCTAGATACGTCACTGACTGTGAATACCAGCGGCAGCCTAGTCAGTGGGTTGCTAGAAATGCACAACAGTGGTGGCAGTTCTGTACCAGGACTCTGTACTGAAAGAGTCACTGTGAAACTGCTACAAGGTAAAACGTCCTAATATGCATGTTACACGCTTCAAATAAAACACAGAACGTCTTTTAGAAGGATCAAATAAATCAAGTGTTAAGTCAAAAATGAATACGGAGTGTTCATGCGGGTCGCTGTTACTTACTCATGTTCTTATTGAGTTTTGACATATATGGTTCAAATTGAAGGCCTAGCTCTAATAGTCACAGTTCTCCACTGATATTCTGAACATCTGCAGAAATACATAGTGAGCATTTCTGTGTATGGACGTTACCTTAAGAGGCAGCAATACACTGACGGCATTTGTAGAGTTTCGGATTGTGTGTTCTTATGTGACTCCTCACATTTTTCTGTCTGAAGAACGTCTTGCTGCACAACTGTCAGAATGAAAATGAAAAGGTAGGTTGTTACTTTGTTGGTAACAATAATAACCATGTGTTCTGTTACTTTTGGCACAAAAACAAAAATACAGCAAAAATTATAATGCAACTCCAGAACAGGGTTTGCACTTACAGGGCATGGCCAGTGTTTCCCTTCAATGTGCCTCATTCGGTGCATGACGAGGGCATCACAGTCCCTGTAAGATGCTCTACACTGCAGGCATGTGTGCACTCCACCAGAGGACTGACTGCGGGCACCCTTCAGCTGTTTCAGGCGAGCCCGTCGGATAGACTCCAACATAACGGTGCGCCGGCTGCTCATAGGATACAACTTGTTCACATTCTTTAAAGAAAAAAAAATGTATATAATTAATGAAAACCTTTCACTGAGGAGATCAAAGCACTTAGTAAAGCTTCATGTAGAAACTGGGAGCTCTGAAAAGTAACAGGGACTCTTCAGCCAAAACCTAGTCTACTTGCCTCCCACAGTCATGCCGCAGTAGACTCTAGATTGTGATACTGAAATTTTAAGACTAAGAAAACTCCCTTCTGATTGGGGTGGGGTTTTCTTTTCTACCACTACAAAGCTAAATATCTTACAGCCATGTAACTGTAGTAGCTGTTCGCAAATTATCATTACTACTGAGAGAATGAATTACTCAAGTGACAGAAATTACTAAAAGCTAAAAGACAGCATTTCAGCTACCTGGCTTTCTAGAAGCCTTACATCAAGTTAGTTTCTTCTTAAAAAGGGGGAGAAAACTGTCAATTTTGTGCTGAATAAAGAGAGAATATCTGTGTTGTCTATTTGACCGAGGTAAGAGTTACACTGTTTATTAGCCTATAGATCTGCGGCAAGGCTAGCAGCCAAAATTAGCTAACACAAAATTATTCCCAATGGTTGTATAATGTCTTGTTAATGCATGCTGGACATTGCAGTGAGAAAAAATAAATGGTGTAAAATTGTGAATTCTGTCAAACCGATGAGGCTGAGAGATATAATGCCAGGCTACAGAATACTGCATAAAATGACAAATAATATATTAAACTTATAGGTCAGAATGCCCCTTTAAACCCAAGTATGTTAAAATGGTCGAGGAAGTCTGAATGTACACTATCTCTGTTATACCTTTGTCTTCGGTGGTTCTCTTTTAACCTTGCAGCTCCTTTTGCTCACTTTGTGCTGTGTGGAACTTTTGTTGGCTTTTGACCGCTGCGACACCCTTGCCTCTTTCTCTTCCTTCTTCACTCGGACAAGCATCCTTTGAGAAAAGGGAGTTGACCTGTTGCCAAGCCCAGCCCAGTGAGGGCCATCTAGACCAGTCCTGTCTGGCATGATCCTTGCTCTAATCCGATCTTTTCCGACAATGGCAG